TGGAATTCTGATTGAATTACAGTCCCAACCAAAAGTACTCCGGAAATAGTGTCTCCTTTTTTTAATCAATCGTCGACAGCTTTTAAAATTGCAAGTTATTTCCACACCGTCGCATACTGAAAGTTCACGAATTTATGAATGTAAAATAGTAAAGTGGTACCGGAAGATCGTGCCGACTTTCGGTAGGTTACGTTGAAAAATGTATAAATTTATTCATATTAATATTTAGAAGTCGCAACATTTCTGAATTTACTATTTCGTAGAGTAAAAAATTGTAAAAGTATTCATATTTCATCTATTATTATTTTTTGGCAATTTATATTAATCAATGTTAAGATAATTCTATACATTTATATAAATATTCTTATTCTAAGAATACAATGAAACGAAGAAGCTGTATTATAGAGAATTTATCCATTTCCTCTTCATGAGATACTGATACTGACCACTTAACAAGATATCGATCTTCTAAGGATTCAATTTTTTATATTGTTTGCATTCAACAGGAAGCAAATTCTTTCACAGAGTTCATTTAATATCTGTTTACCGGTTGCTGTCAAGATTCTGCGGTGTTATGTACTCCACCCGTTTCGAATTACTTTACAGAAGCCTTACGTTAACAGGAAATTAACACGATATGTAAAGCAGTGGAACTCAAATTGTGAATTCAGAAATTTTGAATAAATCAGAGTTTCCTTTTTTTTCACTCATCATAGAAATACACAAATTTTTGGCAATTAAAATATCACAAAAATTATAAATTGTATTTTCTTTTTTTCTTTTTCATGGTAAATTGTGATGATAATTTAATTTACTACGAACGCTATAATAATTTTAAAAAAAACATCAGACCTATAGAATTTTCATTATCCATTTAAATAAAAATTTGTTTAATTTTGCACTATTCCCTTAAAAATTATTCCTCCAATATAATGAAATTCTATCATTTAAAAATTATATCCCTGCATATGTTTTGTAAATTTGGACCTCGATTGACCCAGACTCCGCTGTTCAAAGGTTAATGAACTGAATGGATGTTAAACTCCTCGCTTTTCTCTCAGAATGAAGTGAATTCAGCCAATAGGGTTTTCTTGAAAAATCTGTTTCGCGTTTTTCTGTGGAAAGGTTCCTTTCATAAGAACTAACCACACAACCATATGTTTCTTTACAGCATCGGTAAGCTTTTGCCAACAACATTTGCTTTCAAAGGAGCAATTTTACGCGCCCTTTTGATTCAAACGCTTTACTCTTGAAACACAAATGACCTTTTCAGAATGTTACCATTTTATACGTATTGCTTTTTTTAGCGTTACAGGCATTGGAAAACATGGGTGTTATTAAACAAAAGAATGAAATAAAGGAAAAAATATACAATACTTTTTTTTAAATTATTAACAATATACAGACTTTCAGGGACAAGATAGAAGAGGGTAAATGAAATTTTAAAAAATCGACCAATCTGATTTGTTAACAACTACATTATGATTCGCTTTACAAAGGAAATGAAAATTTCTGTAGATATTTGATATTCCAAGACGTCGAAAATTGCATTAATAATTGAACGATGCTTTCCTTTTGTGTAACTAAACACTGCTCGTTAAGAATGAAGAGCATGATAATAAATTCTTTCAGAAAAGTAACAATGAATTGAGATGATTATGAAAAGCGAGTTTTCTTTTTTTACGGTTTCTTGGTATTTCAATTTGAATTGTACTTTAAATTGGACAAAGACATCGCTCATTGTGCATCTCTTCGATGTAACCAACTGTCCGTAGTGAAAAGGGGTACAAATTGAGTGAAATCGGTTGCCTTTTATCGTAGTAAAATGCAGTCACAAAATCCGTTTAAATTAAATCGTCTTTGAATCTTTAAAAGAAACTCTTCGAATATTGGTACATTTTTAAAACAAAAATGGATATTGACATTTTTAGCATAAGTGCTCAGTGACATTGACGTAACTAGATCATTTCATGATTTTTTTTTTTTAATTTCAGGACGGGCTAAAACAATGAAGACCGATTAAAGAATTAATTATTCAAAAGTTAACCGGTGGAAAATAAATCTAATTTAATTGAAGTTTCTGTTCCTATCGATTTCTCGTATTTCTTCATATTAAAAAAAAAAAAAAAACAGTGTCTCCATTTTTTAATTATTTCCTCGTATGAATAGAGGACACGTTGCGGAACATACGTCATATTCAGAGCACGAGGGACTGAACCAGAGCCGTCAAACGCACACGGTGTACTTTTTACACGTACCCCAGTTTCCAACGAAAATTAACGACGCACAATTTTCGGGAAATAAAGGAAAACTGGATGGGTCATTTTATTAGAAAGAACTGGTTTAGATCCTTGAAACGCCTACACTTCCTGAGGTGACACTACTATTCAATTATTTCTATTTTCTACCATTTTAGAGATACAATTTATTCAATTTACGTTCACACGAAATTCAAGTTACCACGTTTAATGCTGTTCCATTTTAGGTGTACATTAAACAAATTTAACGAGGTTCCATAATGTAATGTATAATACAAAAGGTTTCCGTAGCTAAGTTTAATTGGGAAACATTGCTCTCTGTCTGTAAACATTTGATGAAGAAGCACAATTACGCTACCAGTTAACATACAGAGTATCCCAGGTGTAAGCAATAACGTCACACATTTAATTTAACCAACTAATTACTAAATAAGAAAGACAACAATATTATAATAAAAATACTGTTTAATATCTTTTAAATATTATTTCAATATTTTATCTATTAAAAACCTAGTGATATACATTTCAATATCATAGTTCGTTGATTGAAAATTAATTAATAAACTTTTTATCACCATTAATTTTAAAAAAATGTGATTAATATTGGGCAATTGAAAGAAACATTTTAATAAATCCGTTGAGTAGTTTGAAAAAGAAATTAACTATCGTTCATATGAATTTGCGTTTATCCCCTCTTAAATCAATGAATGGCTAAGGGGATAGCGCTAAAACCATTTCTGAACCTATTATGCGATGGGATTTACTATATCGATTATATCAACGTATTGTACTTTACTTGGTGTATGTTATCCACGAGAAACACTCTACGTGTCCCACGATAATTTCAAAACATAATATTTGTTCCAAACACGCATCGATTACTCTTGTTATCAAGCTACACGTTCATTTAGATTAACCTGTTTCCAACCGTTAAATGTACTAAAAGCATCTACATATTTCTGAACAATAGGTAAATATCTATATTTTTTCTTACTTTATTAAAAAGAAGAAAAACCGAAAAATAGAATTTCAGAAAATTTTATTTCACAATGTTTGATCAATTATTATATTAATTTCTATTTTATTTGTAGTAGAGCTCATTAACTAGCTAGAGACCATATTGGGCGTGGCCTCTCTAAAAATCTAAACTACCCCCTCCTCCAAGGGGACCTTTGCTATTCTAAAATTTAAGGATTTTAAAATTACAAACTTTTTAAATCAAAATTTCAGATCCTAAAAATCTGAAAATATTTGCAAGTTTTGTAATATAAAAATAAATTTTTATAAGTGATTTAATCGTTTCAAAGGAGCAATATCAATTGAAAAGCAACCATATATAAATCACCTTTTCACGAATAGAACCAATGAAAATGTTACAAAAATTCGTCAGACAGATTTACTCGATTGTATTTAGGTGATTGTATAAGGGTAAGCGGCAAAAAAGCGAATGAGTGGAGATTGGTTTTTGCACTGTGACAATGTCCCTATTCACACGGCCTTGATCGTTCGCCAGACTGAAAACAAAATGCTTTTCTTTGTTCGCACAAATGAAGCAGCAATTGAAAGGGAAGCGGTTTTTCTGACGTTGCAGAAATTTAACGAGTTACCCTGGCAACCCTTGACAAAATTCCAAACCAAGATTTTATACGGTATTTTCTGAAGAGGTGCTGCTACTACTGTATCGAGTCACATGGGAAATAGTTTGAAAGAAATTGAAGTTTCAGACGTATACATAAATATACAATATCCACTCTAACATTCTATACGATTTTTCAACCATTTGCTACAAAGTATTAAAACGAAAAAATTATTTTTTTACGCTATGTTCGGTTTAAGTGTAATACATATTATTATTTTTCTAATTATTCAAAAAAGGAAAAATTATGTTCGTGAAAATTTTTGTTTAAACTTTTTTGTTAAATTTTTGTTGACTTTCTCTTTTTTCGAATTTTTGTTTCAATAATTAATTTCATTTAGAATGAATTTAAATTTTTAAACCGAGTTCATCAATCAAAGGGGTTCTGGAAGGATTAATAGCCTTGGGCAACAGAAATCTTATCCGATCTTGCATTTAATGTGCAACAAACGCAACTGATTTTTGATCAAGATTATTTTTCGCATTTTGAATATATGTATTCTTGATAAAGTGCATTATAACGTGTTTCACCATGTACATCAATATTCTCAGTGGCAGTGAACATGTTAACCCTTTAACTACAACGGAAATGGCTGTCGGTATTGCACCCTTAAACGGAACTCGGTATCATAGCGTACATTCACCATGCAGGCAATATCTGGCATTCTGCATCAAATGAATACCGTCTACTTCAATGTATAAGTGGTATATCTGAGGAGTACAATCGACCATAGTGCGTAAAGATCGTTTCACAGCTAGCTATCATGGTACCTCGTAGTACGTGAACAAAATTTCATAGCGAGAGACCATAATCGACCCTGATAGCGCTGTGTATAATTTAAGAGAAGACGTTACCGATCTCAAATTTAATAGGGTGAATACTGTGGGGATCGAGGGTAACCACAAATTATAATAAATATATTCTATACAACGTATTGCCTTGTATAGCATTAGCATTTCTATCCGAATAGGTTCAAATGTATCAACATGTTAATATTCAAGATAGGAGTGTATTGTAAGAATTCTAATTACCCTAGGAAAAAAGGAAAAGCATCTCAAAACGGTACGATGGTAAAAATGAAATTAATAGATGATTTTATTATTAGTTTCAGAATGAACGTTACCACGGCTTATACGGATACAACCAGCAGTCTAGCTGGAATTATGGGACTCGAGCCGGAGATAAGAATGGATAAAGCTGAGAACGTTTTCGACAATGACCTTGACATTTCACCGGTCACCTTATCGTCGGCATGGTCGAGGGTAGCTAGACTGCTCTTATTAGCCTCTATGGCGGTTGCTGGTAGCGTCGGTAACGTTTTCATGATTTCCGCGGTGGTGGTCGAAGATCAACTCAAAAAAAGAGGTATACATATTCTTTTCTCTGCACACGGAATATTGGAATAGTAAAAAAACATATGTTGCACGGTATAAATCATTAAAGTAGTGCCAGAAACTGAAAATTTCGAGTACCTCGTACTCGGGTCGAGTCGGCCGAGTTCTCGAAAGTTTAGACATGCGAAAAGCTGAAAATTTCGGGCACCCAATATTCGGATCGAGTTGGGAATTATTTTGGTCGACAGTGGATTTTCGAAATTTGGAGAACGTGATTCAGGGTAAACTTTGTTGAACATAGTACTCGATATTTGCGGGTTCTTACACGACTCTACAAATCACTGTGCTTAAAATCATTTTAATTTGTCAAGAAGATTTTTATGAAAAATACCCCATCGTGTATATTTAAGTATAAAAAAAATCTATTAACTATTGTTTCTTTTTCCTGCGTGAAAAAATATATTTGGTACTCAGGTTTATTCTACTTAATACCAATTGCAATTTTCAATGAACTTAAATGAAATTTTCATGTTTCAGGGAATGCATTTCTGGTGAATGTCGCATTGGCAGACTTATTAGTGACAGGCATGGTAATACCGGTATCCGTGATTGTCATTCTGGCTGGTCACGAAGAGTCATTAAGCACATGTCGATTCGAATGCACCCTGGAAGCCCTTTGTTTTCTGGTCACTGTTCTAACGTTAGCAACCATAGCTGCGGAAAATTATACTCGTTTGTGTCTACCAGCCGAAAGGTAAAAATTTTAACTGATTACCTACTTGAACTGATCATTGACGAAATGCGACAATGCTCTACAAAATTATACGTTCATCTTACATTTTTAAAGGTCTAATATTTTCATATCAAAAAATATTGGATTTCAATTTTAATTATAATAGAATTTTTAAACAATGATGTCCACTCAAACATATTAAAATCTTAAAATTTAGAATGGACATGTATTTTTGTAAAGCACTATGAATTTGTTTCGTACCCTCTAATATAATAATTATTAATAATGCAATAATAAAGGTTGCAAAGTATAAAATATTATGTTCATAAAAAGTGATGATACAAGGAAAAAATCACAAATTTCGTTTCAAAATTTGAATAAAGATAAATGAAAAGATGATAAAGAAAGAAGTTCTATGGTGATTTAGAAATAATAAAAATTAGTAAATCAACATTCTGATATACGTAAATAATTAAAACAATATTTCGATAAATAATTCTTTGATTACATGCTCATTAAAAAGATAAAAGGAGTTAAAGGTAACAGTATGGATGAATGAGTAACGTGTTTTTTTTTTTCTTTTCTATATAAATCAGAGAACAATTTTAAATTTCGCTTTTCTCCTAGCTTTGTTTCATTTCAAAATTATATCGCATAAATTCCTAAAACTCGCTTTTATTCGAACAAAATATTACAAGGTAGCTGTTACGATTATGATGAAATATAATTTTTAGACATTTTTTATTCATTAAAAATCTACTCACAATTTTAGGATAGAACAAACCCGTATTATTAAAAACCTAATATCACAAATAAACAAATTCAAACAGAAACATTACACAATGTACGAAAGCGTTTTTCCTTTTTCTTTGCAGTCTTAAAAAAGTTTAATTTTGTCACGAAAGGGTTAATACACATTATACTTATAGTAATTAATTAACAGGATAGAAGCGTAATAGGTTGTTCGAACATGCAAATCATTTGTAAATAGCACAAATATAGAAAGTAATTACAAATAATTATATATTGCATTAGATAGTGCACAATATTTCATTCTATTTAATGAAACAATGTTGTTAGATTAGGTAACTTTTTGAAAAGTAATTCAGGATAAATATTCTAAATATTTGCCGAATCAAGAATCCTAATAAATCTCAACTAAATCTCAATTTGCATAATGGAATACGTAAAATTTTTTCTTTTTCTGTTTTTAATTATTTAATCAAATCGAATGAACCTGTTAAAAGAATAATGGTACTTCCGCGTTAAGGATTAACGTAATATTGATTGCCCGTACGTTCGCTTTACCTTTTGCTTCGCCAGACATTTACCAGGGAGGGGTCATAATGTCCGGTACTATTATTGTCAACGATAGCACGGTCACAGGGGATTTAAAGAGCTTTTCGAGGAAAGTTTAAACCTGCACCTACAGAACCATGTTATACCAACTGACCCATACGAAAAATCTCCTTGCATGCACGCGTCTTGCTTAGTGGTTGAAAATAGATGCACGTATAGAATGTGGGAAAAAGTTACATAAAAAATTTAGTATTCCTTTTTCAATTCACACGCTTAAAAGAACAATGAAATCATTACCAAGTGCTTTTGCATTGCTGCATAAGAAAGAATTACTTTCACATTGTAGTTTTAAAAAATATCCATCTTGTAGAGATGAAAATGACAATTTTTCAAAATTATATAATAAATTATTAACCATTCTATTTTTACTCGATAATTATTCTTTTTATCTACTTTCTTAATTTTAAAATATGGTACCTAAAGAAAATGGCACCCACTTGTTTAATTTATTTTTAAAATTATGATCAACTTATAGGACATAATATAAATTATTCAACGTAAGTATGAGTATAAAATAGAGAATTTTAAATATAATTACATCAAGTCTCGTTATTAATATAATTATCAAATGTAGAAACAGAGAAAGCAATAATAGAGTTACACTCAGTTGGAAAGCTATTCCGAGCAACAGTATAAGGTGAATCGCTTTTGACACTTTGATGTAGAATTTACATTGTAGTTTCTCACTACGGTGTCGCGATTGAGTTCCTAATTTCACATTCTACAGGACAAAACTATACCACGACTCTCTGACATTTACCATTGACGAAGTAAAGTTTTGGAATCCGGTCCTATGTTACATACAGCGATATACTCTCAAAGTTTCTACGTGAGATAATGATATCAATCTAAATTGATCTAACGATATTGCAGATTCCAGAAATACTACAGGATAACATCGTTGTAAATTATCTTCGTTTTCTATTAACCCTCGGACAACGGATTTCATATTATTTTCATTTTATAAACTTTACACTATCCCTTACACATTCAACTTTAGATTAATATTCTAGTATATATTTTGCAAGTTTGGGTCTCGATTCACTCAGATTCCGCTGTTCAAGGGTTAAGTGAATAGTCTACTGTTAAATTAAGGGTTGAAATAGACATTCCTTAGGCATAGATTGTGGAAAATTTCAATTACTTTGTAAAGTAATATTTCAACCCTAGTGCATCATTTACGATTGAATTATTGCAAAAAATAATATTTTACTCGATAAATACATTCCTAGAGTGGCATTAATCAAAATAAATAGACTGTTTTATCCAAATAATGATTAAAAATTGAATTTCATATTTTCAGATACGCCTCACTGACACCAAGTCGTGTAACAGGAACAATCATTGGCGTTTGGTTGATCTCCATAATGATGGTGGTGTTGCAGTCGTCGTTGGACGTAGGGCCCGACTTTTGTCGTCGCCGATTCAGCGGTATAGCCTTGGAACAAATCATTGGAGCTACCCTTCTGGTAGGTTTGCCAGCATTGATGACCACATTTTTTTACGTTAAACTGGTAATTCGCGTACGTCACGCGACAAGAGGTTCGTACAAGCCACCGGTCGCTTTTTCCTGGGATTACGAACTTTGCAAGGCAAATATATACAGCTGCCTGATGTTCGTGATATTTTGGTTACCATTCGGCATAGCTGTATGCGTAAATTCTTTCCGACCGATAAGCGCTCGTATTCTTTACAATTTGGCCTGGTTCGCACTCTCCAAGTCATGTTTCAATAATCTCCTCTACTGCGTGGCAGACCGCCATTTTCGCAACGCTTACGTCAAGCTTTTCCACTATTGTTGTTGCAAAACTACAGTCAGTTTCTCGCGAAGACCACGAGGTGACGGGGGAAGAAACGCCAGCGATGTACGTCTTAGAGTTCATATTATCCATTCCTATGCGAGTCCGGGGTCGTGTCGACCCCCTGTTAGCAGACCCAACGGACGCGACGTTTACGAGCTCTAAACGATGGTTGACGATCAAAACTGTACTTGTACAAAGTTACATCCTCGTCCAAGCAAACGATCGCCGTCCAGTGAAACCTTCTCTCTTCACTTTCTTAGTCCCTTTCGTTCAGCTACCTCTTCTGAGATGCTTCCGTCATTTTAAGTTATGCTTTTATCGTCGACTAACTCAGAATATATTGAATAGTTGGTTATTTCATATATATATATATATATATAAAGAATGATTAAATACAGAAGAATTGTTTAGTCTTTGATACAAGTGTTTTTAATGGTACTATGGCGGTGCTTCCGGTACTGGCCACCAGAGGGATACAGACGCTGTACTTTCTCGCAAGTCCTTGCACGACGATGCATCACTAATGATCAATATTGACAAATACTGATGATATTCAAACAATTGGATACCAAATGATACTCGGTGAGAAGTATGGAGCGAAATTTTAGATACTTGGTATCAATTTTTGATACTAAAATAATAATACGCTTATTAAAAGAAAATGCTAATCTCTTCAAGTACAGTCTATAGCTTGGCCTTACTAATAACCTAAAGCTTCCAGCAGATGGCACTACAGAAATACAATAATCTTTTCTCAAAACTTTCAGCGTACAAGTCCACATTAATTTTTACGAAGTAACCGCCATAATACTATTATATTTTCAGTTTAGATTTTAATGCGTTATAATTGATAAATATTTTAACGACAGTTAGTAGAATTTATCTCTTGAGAAGAAATATGGCTACTACCAATTCTGGCACTAATGAATATTTATATAGTTTATGCTTCTGTTTTCAGTGTAAATATTGCTTGCCAAAGCATCGAAAGAAATGTTATAATTGACACTGAAACAAGCAATCGCCGTCCATTGAAAATTCTCCCCTGTTTCTAAAATACTTTGTTCATTTGTATCCTTCCATTTGTATTCTTCCAAAAAATTGACTGCTTTATGATGATACATATCGAAGAAACTATTTGCCACAACTGTTCTTTAGACGACAATTTTATTTTATTTTGTACGAAAAAAGAACACTGTATCAATATACAAAGTACAGTTGTTTAATTTCATACACGGACTAACAGAAGTAGAACTATTTTCCAGTAAGAGCTATTTTGTATTTTGTTAGCATAAATCGTTTCTATCGCAAAATGTTTTTATATAAAACTTGAAATGGAACATTCTTGTTCGATATGAAAAATGTGACTGAACCTTGTTATCACGTTTAGTAAAATTTTCATTTCAAATAGAAGGCAAAATGACGTTGAATACTGATATACGATTTCAATATTATAATCAAAAATAAATTACATGTTACTCGTCCATATATAATAGATAGTTAAAACATATTTATATTAGCGCGAGGTTTTGCATTATTCTGCATTATTATTCTTATTTAATTGCTTGCATTTTATTTTTTTCCATTTTCTACAAATTTCTCATTTCATTGCTAATATAACGAATTAATTAAACAATTAACTCCTAACAATTCCTAACAAAAATTCATTTTATTAAAATCAAAACATTATAATTTCCAAAAATATTATAAAATAAAATTTTTAACAAGGTAATAATTACTTAGAGAATTATTTATTTATTTATGTCTGGCGAAATGAAAAATTTGTGATGCAATAAGAAATATAAAGAAAACAAGCAGTTATTTATATCTTTATTTGTATCAATGCAACAACTATTCTAACAATATTATATATACCCTTTTATGATGGGTCACTTTAAACATGCTGCAAAATTGAAAGAAGAAAAAAGAGAACTCATTCGTTGTGTATATAGCTTATACATAATTCATCTTATAATTCTATTTATTAATTGATAATTACCGCAATGAAGTATTTTCTAACTGTACCTATAATATATGTATTGTATGTTACATGCCTTCTGTCAATCTGTGATCACACTTTTAGGTATGATAGTTCAGTAATGAAGAATAAGTGTATGCTACAGTTTGAAATTTTGCACGAATCCTATAATTATAAATCTTTTCGATCAACCCAACGCGATTTATGAAAATTATTGCTTGCAACCATTTATTTTTAATCAAACAACAAAATTCATAACAGTTCAATCTGTTTAGTATAAAAATAAATATTGACAGTTTATTTTTAACTATATTCCACTAATCGAACCCTTCTGAAACTTTAACAAATAGCTAAATATTAAAACGTTATTCCTAATTTTTTTCATACGCGTAACTCAACCTTTAATGACTTCAAAATTTTAAAAAATATATGTAATGCAAAGCTAACATGTACCTATTATTCAAATATCTTAAATGGTTTTCGAGGAAAAAACAAATGGCAAAGTTTATGGTTATTTCCCCCATATTACCCTTGCAAGAGGGTGCGTGGAAAATTTCGAACTGTTACCGAAAGGACCAGCTGAATGAAAACTTTTCTTGAAGTTCTAATACGAGTACAAAACCATTGGCTACGATGACTCCATCGAAAGCTTTCGGTATCTAAATTATATAGATGTCGAAAATCTAAAGAAACAACGGATAAGAAATGCTGATGATGATAATGCTTGAGAAATGGGACCAGGAAATTGTTTATTATAACTACTTTTCCGGCTACTTTTTTATTGTACACTTTCCTTTTTTTATTCTTGCGACCGTTACAACAAGTCGTTGTAAGTTTTGATGCAATTTGTCCATTGTCCAATTTTATCAGTGAAATATAATGGGCTAATAATAATAGATTTATCAAAACTTGTTAAATACATATTTTTCTTTGTTTTTGTAGAACTAAAAAGTTTATAATTTCTCAACAAATTGATTAGAAATAGTTCGATCAACTGATAATGCAAATAATATTGGTAAAATTGGACAAATAATTTGTAACTGTTCATTTCAATTATATACAAAACGTATAGCGGTCGTAAAACTTATGTTTCATCGAAAACAAAAAACTCTAGCAGCATAGATAACGAATTCATAAATGTACAATTATGTGCAATTTAGGCTTTCTTTGCATAGAAGAAAGTGTAAAGAAGGGAGCATCCCACTACATGCCTTGCATATGCAGGAGATTCTAGCCACTCCCTAAGCTTTCTCTGAGTTTTCCCAAGACTAAGGACAAATGATGGGAAATTCCTTTTCCTACACTTACTTTTAGGCAATAGCAGTCTATATTGCACTTAAGTGTCCATACAAATATTATATAAGATATATCATCTACAGAAAAGAATTGTACATTTCATTAGTACAACAAAATATGTTGTAAAGGCGATATAAAACATATTATAGTTGCTTAAACTGATTCACTAGCATCATTTAAAAATATTGTTAAGCAATGTTGTATCTTTTGTCACAAATAACCGACTTATCCTCGCTACTGTAATTTATATCTACTGATAAGTTCTTATAGTTATAATGTAATCCTGTGTGACAGAACATATTTATAATTGCCAAATTTTTATTTAGATCATTTTATCCGTAAATTTAGTTTATTATAGAATAAGCAAATTAAGTAACTGTACTATCCATTTATATAACATACTATATGCATTTGTGTGGTCTTTCTATGCGTATGAATTGTATATGAGGATGTGAGCATTCAAGAATGCATCTATTCACAACTAATACTAGTCATTAACATTTAGTATCAATATAAATAAGTATTAAAATAATTGACAGACACTGCATGTTCATTCATATCGCTTGTCACAAAATTTATAAGCATATCTCTGAAAATCTATGTTTAAATATAATTGCATTTTCTTCTAATGCACTTACTATTTATGCAGTGACTGTCCAAGGATATACTTTGATCTAGCACCTAGTGTTTTTTGTAATTTCATAATTTCATTTATCTGAACACATTGTTGATTTAAGCTGATACTTATAATTATCCCTTGTACCTTTAAGTATAATATCCTAATACACCATTAACAAAACTGTAAATAGTTGAACTGAATTACTAGTGCTAATTTAACTACTGAATTATTTCTTTCAAATTTAGCACAAAGATTAATACAAATAAATGCAAAAATATTTATAATGGCTAAAGATTATTTTAATTTTTTAACTATTGTAGAAATCAAGTGCTATAAAAAAAACACCATTATGAATATGTGATGCTATGTGGTACACACTGTTAAATATGTTAATTATGATATAATTTAGTTATTGTTTCTGTGCATTTTAATAGTAGATAAAGAGATAGATGTAGTACAGTAGATAAAATCAGAAATAGTATATATATGTAGATTATAAATACTTCTTATATCCCAATTGTGGAGTATAATATTTCTTGCACACATTTTACAATTACTAATCTTTATGTTAGTCATTTTACTGAAAAATGTTAGTTAACCCTTGAACTATAGAAATATAAATTATGAAATTATTTAGCATCACTCTGGTAGTCAAACAGAGAAAAATATTAAGATTTAGTGCAATTAAAATATATCACAATTTCAATACAAATATTTATTTCAATAATTAGTAATTGCAAAAGGAAAGGTAATCTTAGTTACTTGATTCTAAATTAAAACCATAAACAATTGTAACTACTTTCAAAAACTTGTACAATGACTATCTGAGTGAATTTATTACTTTTTGAATGTAATTATTGAGAACTACTGCACCTGAAACTCTGAGGACCATGAATTCACAATAAAATTTCTCATTTTCTTTATATAAATCATGATCATAGTGATTGAAACATGGAGCAAATTAATCTATAAACTATTACTATAAGGCTCCACTTTGTTCATAATAATTATTAGAAAATATGATATTTCTTATAAAATAATTAATCGCATATTCATTGTAAAACAATGAAATTAAAAAAAAGTGTGAAATTGATGTTGTGTCTAAATATATGTCACATATAAAAAACATACCAAATTATTTAATTATTACCTAAAAAACTTGAATTGTTTAAACTGTAGTATAGCAAGAATCATATTGTGTCAGTTTAGTCAAGTAAGTAAGTGTGTTGTGTCTCATAATGTAATACAAAGCAATGTAGAATTTTTTAATTTTTAGTAGATTATATACATTATACATATATTTATGTTATATTAAATGTATTTCCCATTATTATATCTTTCATTAATGTCAACTTTGGAAATCAAATGTGTTATTTAAAAAAAAATTGCGATTTTCTTTATGGATGTATGTTATCATGAATTATGTATATGTAAATTTTATAATGTTGTAATAAACAAATTTTTTTTTTTAAATAGCCTCACTTACCTTTGTTGTATGCAATTGTAGAAAACGGCATTTTCGGCAATGAAAACGGCAATGCAGTTCATTGTAATTACTCACTCTGGAAATAAAATTACATAAATAACGTTAATTATTTACATTACTTATATATGTACATTCTTTTTATACTTTACTCTAAAAAATCATACTTTTTGGAATTTAATTAGAAACAAATACTGAAGAACTATTCGGTTACTACTTCTCGCACATTCAAATGACGTGAGTACTTACACAACCGAAGGAACTAATTTATAGATGGCGCACATATTTGAATGACAACATTGAAGATGAAGGTGTAGTTTTAATAAATTTTAATCACTGTTTACATAGAATATTAAAGAGTTATCATAATATTCTAAATAAATAAAATTATTAGAAAGAGAAAATGAGGGTTTGATAAATTGATTACTACATAAGCATTCTGTATAAATGAGGTTAGTATATTAAGGTTAATATTAAATTAAAGGCAATAAATATTATTAACTAAATAAACTAGTAATTATATATAGAAATAGTAAAAAAGGTTACAACATTTTTATACAATCTTGATGAGATTAATTTTTAAAAAACTATTTTCTATAAGTCAGATCCTATGTTAAAGTTTTGCAGATCAATATTAACCTGATTTTATATCTTCTTTTACAGATATGGATCCAGAATTTCTTTCCAGACTAATTCCACAAAATAAAGAGCATGTTCGCCCAGCATGCAAAAAATGTGGATATGCTGGGCATTTGACATATCAATGCCGTAATTTTATAAAAGTTGATCCGAATAAAGAGATTGTGTTAGATGTTAGCAGTACAAGTTCTGATAGTGATGAAAATTATGTTACTCCATTGACTGAATTACGTGAAAAAGAATTAAAGAAGAAACTTCAAGAGTCTAAGAAAAAGCATAAAGAGAAGAAAAGCAAAAAATCCAAAAAGCGTAAAAAGTCAGAAACAAGTGATGATGAATCAGAATCAAAAGCATCTGATGAAGAGGTCAAGAAACATAAACATAAAAAAAAGAAATCAAAATCGAAACATAAGAAACATAAGAAACATAAAAAAGATACTACATCAGACAGTGATTCTAATGATGATAAAAGATGAGTATTTTCCTTTATAATCCCCCCATATAACAATATTAAAGTTGTAAACATCTTATAAAAATGACAAGTGTACCGCATAAAAATAAAAGCTACACCGTTTGTAAATAGTCGCGTATAAAATTACATTTATACACATGTATGTACACATGGCATATCACTTTATGTTAAGAAAAAATCAACTTATAAATTCCAAACTATTTGTTGTTTATTATTTAAAATACCCGAAAATGTATTGAATAAAAACTACTAAAAGTATTTACCGAATATAAATCCATGCTCATTTTCCAGTGTACCTCGTGTTCCTTTAAGCTGGCGGTAATTTAAACTTTGAAACTAATAACAAAATGGTGCCAGTCAGTACAGCTTCGTGCAACGTACTGTGCACCGATCAACACAAGTCCCGTGAGAATAACGCAATTTGATTGGTTGTACCCCCTCTCGCTCCCATACTCTTCCGCGTGATTTCTTATAATTGGAAGACAGTAAATTTCTTTTAATTAAAAGAAAATATGGAAAAAATAATAACCCACCACTCACTTTCTTTGTCAAAGCTCTTCTTGGCTCTCCTTGATGAATGATAGGAGCCCCCTCCCCGCAGTTTTCCTCATAACGAAAAGAGACCTCCGTTGCACCTGACTGTACTTTATTGCGCAGCGTTAATAATATATACCGCAGTTCACCAGAGTCCATAACTGCGAAAAGACCCGTTTTCGTTCTTCGCGCATCTCCAGTGCGCATCTTCGCCCTGATTGGCGATACTCCCAAACGAAGTGGAAAGCGATTAGCAGAGAGCTCGCTGCGTCCCCCCACCATCTTCCAACCTGCGCGTCGCAGTTATGGACTCTGGTAAACTGCGGTATAGAAAACTTGACAACTTATGTATAGGTTAAAATGAAATAAGTTGGTAAACAAAACATGACACGACACGCCAGGAACTGTACAGCTGGTGCTGTTTATACTTATCATGAAAAGAAGAAAGATGCAGTAGCCTCAGGTTACGGAACAAATACGCAAAGAGTGGGAAAGGATTCTGTTAAAGATTTTGATTGTTGCTGCCTTACATTACAGCCTTGTAGAAATCCTGTCATAACGTAAATATATCATTCTAAACATCTTATTTATTTTCATTGCACTAATTTTACGTCTTTTTTTCTTACAGAAAAGACGGCTACTTATTTGATAAAGAAGCAATATTGGAATATGTCTTAACTAAAAAGAAAGAATATGCAAGAAAATTGAAAGAATATGAAAGACAAAAACAACAACAAGAAGTAAGTACACACAAAATTGGAGTATCTTTACATATTTTATGAATAATTTTTACTATTTACTTAGGAACGATCTAATGAAAAAACTGCTAATGAAGAGTTACAAAAGTTGCAACAATTTTTAAAGGGAGAGAAAACTATTGTTTTAAAAAGACAAACTGCAGCTAATGAATCAACTTCTTCAGTTTCTAATATGAGCAATGGCAAGGATAAAGTATTGCCAAGTTTTTGGATTCCTTCCAAAACACCTGAAGCAAAAGAAATTATATTGCAAAAACCAGATAAAACAGTTTATTGTCCAATTAGTGGGAAACCATTGAAAATAAAGGATCTTATTCCTGTAAAATTCACTGAAATAAAAGATCCAGATGACAAAAAGTCTCTTATTGTTAAACAAGCTCGATACATGTGTCCAATTACTCATGATGTTTTAAGCAATAGTGTTCCATGTGCAGTTATAAGGACAACGTAAGGTCTTTTGTTTTATAATATTCATTCTTTTAAATTGAGAACAATTAAACATTATCTTGTTTTATTCAGTGGTGATGTAGTGACAATGGAATGTGTAGAGAAAATTATTAAAAAAGACTGGATTAATCCTTTGGATAATACAAAATTAACAGAGAAGGATATTATAGTTTTACAGAGGGTAAGTGTAAAAAATGTAATTGAAACCCAATAAATCGAAAATAATATTAATTACTTCACAGGGTGGTACTGGATATGCAGCTGTTAATAACTGTTTAGAAGGTAAACACGAAAGACCAGTATTGCAGGCATAAATATTTAAATTGTGTAAGTATAAAAATATGTCTTTAATAATGTGTAATAAATTTACGGTACAAAGAAATAAACTGTAATACTTTACAACTTTCATTTTTAATAATTTTGATGAATACTTGTCATTTAAATAAAACAAACTATAATATAATATTACGTTTTCATTATTTTAGTATTTTCTTTTGTGTAATTTAACTGTTTCGAGCTTTGTTGCGTGTAATATAAACAAAAAATAATTTTATAATAGGTTTAGTAACATTAATGTTTTACGGGCATGAAAAGATAAATCCCATAATCCGTTTCGCGTGAAAGATCAATCCGCGATCCAATCGGTGATCGGTGATCGGGTCTTCGGTCAGAAGGTGTCGCCATCTTAAGGAATAAAGTTTTTTAAAACATTCCGAAATTCTGGCGCTCTGCCGGCCAGGCGGCAATCTACGAGGTTGCGTTAATGTTCGCTGTTCACGTAATGCTTGCGCGCGTTCTAAACTTCACTTTCCTCCAATTGTCTGTTTTGAATCGAAAAATTAAGTGTCATCATCAATTATGAAGTGCCGAAGTCGTGATAATCGTTTGCCAATGAATTAAAGGTGAGTGTTTACGTAAGGGTGTCTTATAATTGGATCCCTATGCTGTTACATGTGTACTGCCACGACGATAACATTTTGTACGCTTGGTAAGTCATCAATTTCGCTACCATTTGTGAGTAAAATGATCTTTGATCGAAATCGTCGCGATTATCGATGAATTTCTTGCTGATAATCTAGCTTGCACAAATGAAACATATTACTTTTAAATTGCAATTATATACACATATGTGTGTACAGCAATGGTGCGCGGTTAGTTTTTATATATAAGTTTTCAGCGATTCCGGGAACAAGTGTTTACGATAGATCCGTAAGTAGGACATGTAAATGTATTGATTGGTAAACTATCAATAATTAAGATGATGAGTTTGAAGGATTAATGTAGTTCATACTTTTTGTGATTTTAATTTGTGCGTTCGCGGGTTTAAAGCGACGCGACCCCACTATCAGACGCCGCGACATATCATTTTTCACGAGCATGCATTTTCTACGGCTAACGTTGTATCTCGAACATACGATACTTATTTCCTATGTATTTCTTTACAAAATTATATAAAGTGTATTTATTAACATTTGAAGAATAAGTAAAACATGTCTGAAGGATAGAAACGTTTGATATATTCAATACATTTATATCTTTCATTGTATAAATTAAATCAATGTTTAGTTATTGATTACATTGATTTTTCTTTAACTCGCTGTAATACGAACACCAATCGATGCAGTTGATCTAATCCAGACAATTAAAATGAAGCTCGTAACTGCGTTGCATTGTGTATACTGGTTCAAATGACAGATCACAATATATGTACAGATAAGACGTTTATCAAGATACGTGTCACACGTTCATCTAAATTAATAACAATCTCAATTGAATTTTAAAAAATGCTTTATAAATTAGTTGCACAATTGAATTCATAAAGATCAGATTTATTATACTGTTTTATCGACGCGATTAAGTTAATTTTTATGAGTAAAATTTGAAATAATTTACCAGTAATATATTGGGCATACATTGATGCTGCTAACTGTAAGATAATCTTACCGTACAAACAGCAATATCATGTATACAATGATGTACTATATACAATATCACAAATATAAACACACACATACAGTCATCCAACCTTGTTATATCGCTAAAAGTGCATCTACGTGTATCTGCACACAACCACAAAATATAATACTGCTCTTATGTATATGTTTATAAATGTGTATTTCGCACTAATGCATACGCGAATGAATGTGTATATGTACACGTCTCGTACGTAATAGAAGGTTAAGCTAGGTTGACCGCCATGATGCAGAGTGCATGCGTAACGAATAGTTCGCGCCGATTGTACGGGAACATGTACAGTGCATACGCGAGAGTAAAAACATGATACGTGAATGTGTTTTCGTGCACGCGTAGATGATAAACGACGACACGACGTTATATCATCGTCTACGAGGAGCATGGCACATATTGCGACACAATCTTTGCAGTTCTTTCACCCATTCGATTTGATCGCGCTATGAGCATCGCTATACATATGTATAGTAGGTGCATGTAAATCGATTTGATTGATAATTTTTGTATGCATATCATCAATTGATTTGCTGCTAGTAACAGGGGTATTAATCTCTTGAGAGATTAATTTATTAAGGCTAAAGCCAAATTAAAAATATTAAACAAAACAAATGTTGCTGAAAAATATTTTGAAATGTTTAAGAAAAATAATGGGCAATAATAAACATTTCGGGCAATGAGCCCCTGGTTCTCCCAGGATTAGAAACCAATGGTGGGTGGTTCTTTCCCCTACACTTACTCTTAATCAAAAGAAATGTACCTTGCAATTGAATGTACATTCTTGAACCCTACAGGTACTCTTTGGTCCCATCCTTAGAGTAATTTTTATTTAATTTGCAATTTTGAATAACTACATCGGTTGATGCAATTTTCTCTATATGTAGACATAATCAATTACTTTCAAGAGCGCAGTAAAATTATTTCATTGACAACTGAATCTGCGAAAGAGAAAGTAGGAACTAAATGTGGTCTACTACCGTACCTAGTTTGCTTTTGTTATGTAGACCAAACTATTGACCTCCGTTCTCAAGAAACTCGAAGGCACACCCGTGCACCTAACCATAATCGTAAATATACTTGTCAGGCATGTCATATTGTATGTTAAACATTTATTCTATATACTGAAATTATCATCTCATTTTTTCAAGATTTTCAAAAACGCTTCTTTTTCCTGAGAAAATTGTATTTTATAATATAAATTATATTTTTTTTAATTTCACACCTTCTTGGGTAACAAATATATATTTTAATTTCCCACTCATTGCAAGGAATGTATGAATTTATGTAACTATACATTGAATCATTTTCAAAGAAAAAAGCGCTGATATTATGCTACCAAGAAGTAGTTAATGTTTAAATGCATAAGCGATTAATTTAAAATACATTTTCCTTACTTCGTCGTTGTTTATTGAATTACCAGTCCAAAAAGATTTACGCTATGGATTGAAAATAAGAGAGATCATATTTTAGTTTTCACTGTACGATTGGGTGAAAATTACGAGTAATGATTTCCTCTTGTCGGAAACTGTAGTTACACGATCGTTTGTATAATAAATATATAGCAAATATGCACGGTCACCAGAGTTTTGTACACACTTTAAACATTACGTAATAATACTTGCGTGTTTTGCGGTGCGCATTACCTCATATCAAAGCAATTCTCGAGTATGGCGCGGTCATTTTCCCACCGTGGCTAAGCTCCCTCCTGTCTCAAATATGCGTGAACTTGTTTCCGTTTTAGAAAAGGTACCTGACGGAAAAATAATAATTTCCTCCTTATTGCGACACCACATCTCCCGGCGTTTCTAAACGTATCCTATTTGCAACTTTATTAGGTTGCTATTTTCTCTCAATCAATGAAGGTAAAAAAAATCACCATTTACCGTTAATTTTTTAATTAGTTACAAAATAATGGAAATATTTAAAAATTTGATGGAAATCTATAGATGTTTGATGTAAGTATAGCTTTCAGTATTAAGTTCACCCACACCCCTAAAAAATATGGGTCAGCCCCTTTCCTACCGGCAATGTTTTGCATCGGGCTCTCCCACAGTGAAAGGGTTGCATTCTCTTAGGGGCCTCCATAATCCAAAGAAGGGTTTTTGTAGATGATAATTTGCAATTACTATTTGATCTAATAATTAACTTTTACTATGAATATTTCTTAAATAATCATCATTATTCTCACCCTAGTTTTTTAAAAAATATCCAAAAATTGTTGAGTACTCATCGAACATAAGCAAATAATCTCAGTTTCGTCAGTTACCGCAACTGATAGATCGCGGTTTACTTCCAGTATTTACGTAACACAATATCGGCGGTGCACAAGTCAGGGGGAAAAAGTGAATCATCGATTACACTTACTAGGCTGCAATATGGGCAATGGCTTCCTCGTTAAACCTTGAACAAGTAATCTGCTTCTAAGATGATACGGTATACAAAAAAAGTCACTAATATTCATTTATTCGTGTAATATACAATCCGCTCTTAAACACTGTTGATGGGTTTCCTTCAACACTTTAACGTCGTAACTGTGATACATAATCAAAGAGGATCGTGATGATTCTATGGAATAAACGATGATCACTTAAGCAACAATAAAATTAAAGTATAAGATCGTATATGTATTGTAAGTTTGAGTAAAAATTCTTGGCTAACTATTCATGTATCAGCAATAGAAGGCGACTCGGTGAAGATCGCCGACGGCAAGTCGAGCTAACCAGAAACTGCTGTAGCGTACGGATCCGAAAAGGTCAAAGCATTTCAAATGCAAATAGCATTTCTCTTGTAAGGATACATAATACCGGCCGGTGATTGCACGACGCTGGTCCAGTTGGTTACCGTAATGTCATTTTACGTTTGATAATTATTTGCAACTCGCGGTGAGGAATATCAAGTTAAATTTCTAAATCATCGGGTCGGGTCACGTCTCAACAGTACGTATCTTCTGTTCGTTCACTTCACTTTCTGTTTGATTCGGTTTATATTAAAGTCACATGGTTTTAAAGAGGATATAAGAAAGGTTAAAAGGAATTTTCTTAAATGAAGTTTTTTTGAAAATTTAAAGAATGATTTTTGATTTTACAAATGGACATGATTTCGTGACAGAAAAATATATTAAAATAGCACATGTGACATGTCAATTTAAAGCTTAAAGTTTAATAAAAATAATCATCTAAGTTTTTCATTATAATTCTCAACGCAGAATAATTAATTATCAGTTACAATAAAGTGGATTAATCCTAGGAGGCAATTTAAAATTCCTTTATCACTTCAAGATATAAACAATTAGAAATTCTCATCCTAAGTGTGATAGCATCGAAAAGACAACTTATATAATCAGAAGAAGGATGAATTACTTATTAAAAATTAATGTATTCAATCTAACCAGTCGCTGATTAAGAAAATCATGGAAATCGGTCAAGTATGAAACC